TGTCATGTAATAAAAATTACAGGACTTGCAGAGAAGCAGGAAAAATGAGACTAAAAACCAAGAGGACAAAAACATGTATTAGAAGCAATCCAAGGATTATCCAGATATTGGAGTTAGTCAACCAGGATTTTAAAAATTACCATTATAAACATGTTTCAAAAACAGAGAAAAGATGAACAAAATGGATGAAAAAAATTTAACTGAGAACTATAATCTGTATAAAAGAGATTCAAGTGGCATTCCAAAACTGAAAGTATATAAATATGTGTGTATATATATAATTTCAGATATACATAAATGTATAATCTGAAACTGGGAACTGATTAGATGGGTTTAAAAGCAGACTGGTCAATATAAAATATAGAAACTGAAGCCTACCTAAAGAAATAAAATGTTTTTCCATTTTATTTATTCCATTATTTAATTCCACTTATTAAAAGAGCATCAAAAACATTTGTGATATAATTAAACAGTCTAGCATATGTGTAATTGCTATTCCATCACAGAAGAGAGCAGGAATAGAATAAAACATAATTTGGATAAAGATGATGGCTGAGAATTATTCAAAATTGAAGAAAGATGCATTCGATAACTTTCTATGAACCCCAAGTAGCATAAATACACACACACACACACACACAAAACAGTACTCAGACTCATCACAGTAAAACATCTGAAAACCAAGGCTAAAGAGAAAGATTTTAAAAGCAGCCAGAATAAGATGATTCAATAATATTAAGAGCAGGATTTTAAACAGAAACTATGGATGCAGGGAAATATGTTAACTTTAAAAAGTTGAAACAACAACAATAACAACAACCCTGACATCTAGAGTTTTAAATCCAATGAAAATATCCTTCCAAAGTCAAAATGAAATAAATGCATTTTTCAGACATCTAAAAGCTGGGAAAATTATTCACAAGCAGGCCCATATTTTAAGAAATTCTGTAGAAAATTCTTCAGACTGAAGGAAAATGGTCTCAGATGAAAGCCTAGTGTCACAAGAAGGAATAAAGAGCACAGGAAAAATAATTGTAACTTCCAGAACAATCACTTTAAGAATAATACAAATAAATATAAACATTGAAGAGGTAATATAGGATATAAAAAGGTAAAATTCAGAATGCTTAAAATATTTCAATAGCTCCCTACTTCTGATTAAATAAATGTCAAAGTCCTTAGTATAGTTTACTAGATGCTCCATTGCCCCCCACCTACCTGTCTAGCCTCATTTTCTTCAAGCTCCTTCTAGAACCCAGCCAGTGGCAACTACATGTAACTGCCTTAGCACACCATATTATTTATACCACCTTAGAGCTGCCTATACCACTCCTCTACCAGAGTATCATCCCTCGCTTCTTTTTTTTTTTTTTTCAATCTGGCTCATAGCAACTTAACTTTTAACATCTAGTTCGGGTATACTCTGGTTTTCCTGAAAAGTCATCTCTGGATTTTCATGTGTTCCCATAGTATGCAGTATGTATCTCTATCATAGCCCTTGTTGTAGAATATAATTATTTGTCTACTTATCTATTTCCCCACTCCACTTCGATGTCAAGATCTCTGAAGGCTGGGTATCTACATATTATCTCTGCATCTTCAGCATCCAGCACAAGTGCTACTATATGCAATCTAACCTAGGAAAAGCTAAATACAAAAATGAACAAACATTATTTCAGTATCTGCTTGTGAAAGACTATGATATCACAGAGTGTATATACAATCTGCTTCAATCCTCCAGAACTTTATTTGTAAAGGGCACACCAGTACCTCTAACTTAACACCTTCCAAACACATTTTACTTTACCTCTACTAACACGTGTAAAACTCAGTTAATGTCTCAATGCCTGAAGTCACTCATTGTAGCCAACTTGGATTCATTTTGACTTCTGCTCCTTCCTCAACCTTGATATGTCCTTCCTCACTATTTCCTTGTTTTCTCCCTCATCTTTGACCTACTCATCCTTTAAGTCCCAGCTCGAATGTGACTGAATTCTTTCCCATGCTCCAGCCAGAATGAGTCAAACTTTTTTCCTGGCATTTTCATGGAACCTCATTGGTGGTGTCCTATGTCATCAATAATCTGCATCTGTTTCTCTCACAAGTTGGTGAAGCTTTTAAAAGAAAATTATTTTCACTTGCAGAAAAGGCAAGTAAGAGGAAACACTTTCAAAACAGGGAAGTAAAAGAAGAAAAACTGAAGAAAGAAAATAAAAAACCAAAAGAAAGAAAACATATTTTAAAAACCGTGGGGAAGTTACAGGAAATTTTAATAAGAAATCCAGGGGAAAAAAATTCTCTTTGAAAATTTATTAGAGTCTTTTAGGTATTTTGGTTATTTCTGCCCAGCCATTAACCCCACCTCTTCACCCACACATCTTCCCTGCCCATATGAAGAATTCATGTGTGGCTTCCTTTTGCCACAGATTATATAAAAGATTCTTCGTAGAAGCAGGAACTCTCATCCACTGAAGACAGGTCTTTTCTGCTTTCATTACATGTCTCTCTCGCTTCTTTCCTCCAGCTTTTGCATATTCTCTGTCACCTATTCATCTTACCTCAATTCTGACTCCATTTTCTGTCTTGGTTTCCTCCTGTATGTATACCTGTATCTGGACTATCTTTACAACCTTGTCCTATGTCCGGATCTTTTTTAGTGGTCGTTCCTGTTTCATGTCTATTTGTGGCTCACAAGGACAAGATAAGTACTTCCCATATTCATTCTTTTTTTTTTCCCCCGACAGGCTAGTGCAGTGGTGCAATTTTGGACTCCACCTTCCGAGTTCAAGAGATTCCCCTGCCTCAGCCTCCTGTGTAGCTGGGACAACAGGCGTGCACTACCATGCCCAGCTAATTTTTTGTATTTTAGTAGAGACAGAGTTTCAACATGTTGGCCAGGATGGCCTCAATCTCCTGACTTCATGATCCGCCCGCCTTGGCCTCCCAGTGTGCTGGGATTACAGGCATGAGCCACCATGCCCAGCCCCCATTTCATTCTTAAAAGTGAGTCATCCTGGTGAAAAATGATGGGATGACAGACTGAAATCCTTATCAGCCACACTAAGAGTTATTTAGAGCTGTAGGGGAGTTTCAACCTTCCCTCTGGAGGTTGGGCAATTGAGCTTATTGAAGTAAATTGAAAACACGAAGATTAACAGGTAATAATATACAAATTTATTAATGTACACATGTGCATGAAAACCCCACAAAATATGAGACTCAAAGAAGGGCCAGCGGGTTGAAGTTTAAATACCCTATTCACAGAGAAGAGGGAAATGGCAAATGGCAGGGTGGAGGAGGGAGGGTGAGAGGGGTAGGCAATTTTACAGGAAGAGTAAATACTTTTTAGGGGAAATGAATGAGCCCAAGGAACAGAAAATAGCCCAGGACAAAGTTCCTTTGTGCTCTGGCGGAGCTGATGACAAGTTTTAAAAGGTGAGGGGTAGAAGTGCACTGTGAACAAAGGTTGTCTTATTATGCAGGTAGTCTTTTAGGTTAAAAAAGAGTTATTTTAGAGCACCCTCCAGAAAAGTAGGCAATAGCCTGTTTGGATGTGGTGATGACTTTTAATTTCTCCTCTGATAAATAACATTAACTGGTTGTTTGATGAGATTCCTAGAGAGGGGGTTCAATACAGTTGCATTTCTTTAGGAAGAACCCTTCTCAGTCAGATAGGGGAATTTCAGAGAGAAACCCTCCCTGAACTTTGAAAGGAAAAGCAGGGTAGACAGCAGGAGAAGGTAAGAGAGACTGGTTCTGAGGCCTTTCAATCCACTTCATTCAAAGCACTTAACATGCCAAAGTGGCATATTTTGGGGTATCATTTCCTGAGCCCGCAAAAAAGCCCTAAAGTTCTGGGTTCGTTTTTAAGAGAAATGAGCAGAAACCATAGATTACCCACACAAGAGCAAGCAAAGAGAAATTCTAAGAAAATGGTTTTTTTTAAAAAAAAAAAAAAAAAAATACCTGATAATAATTAGACTGTAAACTATGGTAATGAAGTATGACAGCTGTACCTTGCCTATAAGTAGAATTTCAACAACAACAAAAATGTTGACCAGCTGTTCTCCCTTTCCATAGGCACAAAGCAAAGAGGAGACTCTTAAACTTCCCTAACTGTGGATATAAGGAAACACCTTTCTACTGCAAACATTATTATTTCTCAAGGATGATGTTGAATCCCAGCTCAGAGGATTTTAACAGTTTTGAAACCACAGATCTCAGATGGCTTAGTTTAATTCTGATTTTTTCTGATTCTTACAAGCTGAAAACTTGAACTTTTTATTAATTATTTTAAATGAGCTTCCCTGCAGTGTCCATATGCTTTCTGAGTGCTTCACTGAGAATCAGGTTGTGTTACCTATTCTCCCACAGGACCCTTCTTTGCTGGAAGAATTTTTCTACAGAATTATTCCTCAAACTTTTAAGAATTCAGAAGACTATAATAGTCCGAAAAATAAAGAATTATTTTGTACATCTTGTTTCTATATCTTTAGACATCATTCACTTATAGTTTCCAACTTAAGCTTTCTTGTCTTCTCATCTCATTAGCCTAGCTCTGCAGCTGGAAGACTTTAAGACAATACATTTTAAGTCGTCTCCATTTAGAGTGTTTCACATGAAAATAAACAAGATTGCCAGACACTGTGTTCTAAAGTGGTCTTATGATGGCTTCCTCCAGCATCGGTTTTGAAAATTAAGGTTATTTGGGGAGAGAGATTCTCATCCATGGAAGATTCATGGATACGTGTTCGTGGCATTCTAACTTCAGAAAAGGAACAAAATAAAAATATTCATTTCATATATCCCAGCCTGTTGGCTGTCCTATCTGAGAGCACAGATCAGCAGCTGAACTATAAATCTTAACAGTCAAACCACACTTTGTTTCACGGCAACCTACAAGGCAAACACTTGTTATTTTCATGCTTTTCTACTCTATTTTTAAATGATTAAGTTTCATGAAAAGGGATAGTAGAGGTGTATGATGGCTGAGAACTTACTTTCAAAAAGTGACGGGGCCTCTGGAATTTGGGGACGCTCCTCCTCTGGCTCTTCCCTAAAGTATTTCTCAGGGTCTAGAAGGAAAGCAGGTTTATTCACTTCCGGCAGCTCTTCCAGGACTCCAATGCTTAATGACCTAAATGCACCTTCACAACAGCAGGTTTTAGAGGAAGACAGGGAGAAAAAGAGTACAATATCATTAATTCCTTGGAAAGAGCTAGCACATTTCCAAGTTAACGTTTATAAATTTAACCTTCCTATTACTCAGCTGGTACAGCTGCAGTGATCTGCAAACCCTATAAACACAGCTGTTCAAAATAAATCCATAGTGCTTTTTATTCAAAGGAACCAAAAGGAACTCAAGGCTTCCCATTCATTTTTTTTTATTTTGTATTTTTCTGCTATTTTCCCTTGAAAATGAATATTCTGCAGTTTTGGAAAAGCTCCAGTTTTTCTTTTATCTACAAGAAAATTGTATCCTTTGTGAAATGGAATCTATTTTTTTCAGTGTTTAGTCTAACAAAACATCTAAAATTTTGAATTGGCAGGTACTTTTTAAATAATGTTATCAAATAAACCAGAGCTGTGTTACTGTATTTATTATGCACACAATGAGATGATAGAAATCTATTTTAATCATGCTCTTAAAAGCAAAGTCTTGAACAAAGTGAAAAGAAATTCTCTGTGCTTCATGTAATAATTGGATAATAGAATGGAAATCTATAAAAACTCAATTTGAGATATAATTTTATGTTTCTTTGTTAGTTCTGTGAAGGTAGGAACTGGGTTTTTGTCATGATGATGGCTCAGTACCTAAGAAAAGGAAACTAATCCATATTCAGCAGCTGATATGGAACAAGTCTTGTTTTATGTTAGTGGATTTCAAACTATAACAGGCATCAGAATTACCTGGAGGGCTTACTAAAACATAGACTGCTGTGTGACCCCCTTGGCTTCTGACTAATGGAGGAAAGCAGGGATGAGGGTCCCATAATTTACATTTCTAGTAAGTTCCAGTTGATGCTTATGGTGCTAGGCCAGGGACCACTCCTTGAAAACTTAATGTGCTAGGTCAAATTAAAGAAGAAATCTTTACAACATGTAAGGTATCATTGTGCCCTTAAGACAGATGAGGAAACTGAGGCTTATGATGCTTTAGTAGTTTGTCTCAGTTCACGTAACTGTTAAATAGCAGACCATGGACTTAAGCTGAAATATGTTTAATCCCAAAGGTTATGCTCTGAGGTATAACAATAACAACATTACTAATAAGATTGTATTGGTTGCTGTAATATGCCAGGCAGTAGTCAAAGTGCTTTACATATCTATCTCATGTAAACCTAACAAAAATTCTGTGGAGATTACTTGATAAATGGGCATTGAATGTTAACAAATAATTAGGCAGCTTTTTACAGCAAAATTTCATCAGAAATTTAGAAATCAACATATCTGCTCTATGAAAGTGTGACATTCCCTTGGACATAAGTTGAAAAGATTATTTTGTAGTAAGTAACATATTTTTAATATAAAATAAAGCTTCAGGAAGGATTTTCATCTATGTTTCTAAACAGTATACCTTAGTATAATAATGATTCCTTTGTTTTAGGTTACTGGTCTTATAATTCTTTTCTGGTCAGTCAACAACTAGACTAATGCATTGTTCTGTGTGGCTTCAGGATTTCTGAGAGCAAAAATAGTTTTTATTTATCTTCATTTCTTAAACACTTAAGGGAAAGAATAAAAATTCTGGTGCCATCTCTTTTTTTAGAACTGTATTAGGTACTTCACACATATTTTCTGACTAATACAGTTAGGATATTTGTTCCCTTTAAATCTCACATTGAATTGTAATCCCCAGTGTTGGAGATGGGGCCTGGTAGAAGATGACTGGATCATGGGGATATATTTTTTCATGAATTGTTTAGTGCCATTCCCTTGGTGCTGTCTTTGCAATAGTGAGTGAGTTCTCACAAGATCTGGTGGTTTAACTGTGTGTGGCACTACCCCCAACTTGCTCCTACTTTCACCATGTGATATTGCCTGCTTCCCCTTCACCTTCCACCATCATTGTAAGGTTTCTGAGGCCCTCACCAGAAGGTGGGCAAATGTTGGTGCCATACCTGTACAGCCTGCAGAAAGGTGACCCAATTAAATCCCTTTTCTTTATAAATTACCTAGTCTCAGATATTTCTTTACAGCAATGCAAAAATGGCCTGACACAGAAAATTGGTACCAAGAGTGGGGCATTGCTAAAAAGATACCTAAAAATGTGCAAGTAGCTTTGGATCTGGCTAATCGGCAGAGCTTGGAAGAGTCTGGAGAACTCAGAAGACAGGAAGATGAGGGGAATTTTGGAAATTCTTAGAGACTGGTTAAATGGTAGTAGCCAAAATGCTGACAGTGATGTGCGCAGTGAAGTACAGGCCAACAAGGTCTCAGATGGAAATGAAGAACGTACTGGGAACTGGAGCAAAGGTCACCCATATTATGCCTTACCAAAGACTTCAGCTGCATTGTGTTCATGGCCTAGGCATCTGTGGAAGCTTGAACTTAACACTGATAATTTAGGGTATCTAGCAGAAGAAATTTCTACACAGCAGAGCATCAAGATATTCCCTGGCTGCTTCTAATAGCCTAGCTTAGATGTAGGAGCAAAGAAATGATTAAAAGTTGGAAGTTATATTTAAAGAAAAAGAAGAGTATAAATGTTTAGGAAATTTGAAGCCCTGTCATGTGGCAAACAAACAAACAAAAAGCATTATCAGGAGAGGAATTCAAGCAGGCTCTGGAGCAACCATTTGCCAAAGAGATCTGTATAACTAAAAGAGAGCCAAGAGCTAATATCCAAGACAACAGGAAAAAGGCCTTGAAGGCCTTCTAGACAGCCCCTCCCATCACAGGCCCACAGGCCTACAAGGACTATAGCACTGTTCTCCGTATCCCTGCTGCTCCAGCTCCAGCTGTGGCTCAAAGAGCCCGATACAACTCAGGCAGTCACTCCAGAGTGAGTAAGCCACAAGCTTTGGTGGCTTCCATGTGATGCTAAGCCTGCAGGTAAATAGAGTGCAAGAGAGAAGGAGGCTTGGCAGCCTCATCTAGATTTCATAGAATATAAAAAAAAATCCTGGGTGCCCAGCAAGAAACCTGCTGCAGGGCAGACCCCTCACAGAGAACATCTACTAGCACAGTGCAGATGGGAAATGTAGGGTTGGAGGTCTCATACAGAGTCCCCACTGGGGCACTGCCTAGTGGAGCTCTGTAAAGAGGGCCACTGTTCTCCGCACTTGAGAATGGTAGATTCACTGGCAGCTGCATCCTATGCCTGAAAAAGCTGCAGGCACTCAACTCTAACCCATGAGAACAACCACAGGGGCTGTACCCTGCAGAGACACAGTGGCAGACCTGTGCAAGACCTTGGGAGCCTACCCTTGGTGCCATTGTGCCCTGGATGTGGGCATGGAATCAAAGGAGATTATTTTGGAGCTTTAAGATGTAATGACTGCCCTGCTGAATTTCAGACTTGCCTGGAGCCTATAGCCCCTGTCTTTTGACCAATTTCTCCTTTTGGAATGAAAATGTTTACCCAACGCCTATCTCACCCGCCCCGCCCCCCACCACCTTCCCACCGCCCATTTTATCTTGGAAGTAAATGACTTGTTTTTTATTTTACAGGCTTGTAGGTGGGAGAAGCTTACCTTGTTTCAAATGAGACTTTGAACTTTGTACTTTTAAGTTATTGCTGGAATGAGTTAAGACTTTGGAGGACTATTGGGAAGGAATGGTTTTATTTCGCAATGGGAGAAGGACATGAGATTTGGAGGTGCCAGGGATGGAATGATATACCCTGGATACTTGTCCCTGCCCAAATCTCATGCTGAAATATAATCCCTAGTGTTGGAGATGAGGCCAGTTGAGAGGTGTTCGGGTCATGAAGGTGATTCCCTCACGGCTTAGTGCTGTCCTCATGGTAGTGAGTCCTCAGAGATCTGGCTGTTTAAAGTGTGTAGCACTTCCCCCACTCCCTCTTGCTCCTGCTCCCACCCTGTGACGTGCCTGCTATTGCTTCACCTTCCACCAAGCAGATGCCAACATTATGGTTCCTGTACAGTCTGCAGAACTGTGAGCCAATTAAACCTCTTTTTTAAAAAATAAATTATATAGTTTCTGGCATTTTTTTATAGCAATACAAGAGTGGTCCAACACACTGACTTAGACCTTACACTTTTTCCACTAGTATTCTGTGAGGCCTTGGACAGGTGACTTAATGTCTCTGTACCTCAATTTTCTCCTTTGTTAAATGGGGTTCACAGGACATTACATTCATGTTTATTAAGGAATAGGTACATTCCCAACACACAGAGTAGCCATTTGTATTCACACTAATCTATTAAACAACATTATAAAAATACATTAACAACAGAGACTACTTACTGAATGATTTTTTTATAACTTCACCATAATAAGGTTTTTGTGTTTCTTTCATGCAGGTACTTCTTTCCTTATATTTTATGCCTAAATTTATATCTTCTGATGGTCTGACACTGGAAGAAAATAATTCATGATGAAATACATTATTAACCACTGGGATGAAGAGACTCTTTCGGGCTAGATGTATCTTTGACCGAAAAAAAAAAAACAATCTATTCCTGTGAACAGAAGTAGTGATATTTGTTTACACTAATCAAGCCATATCTTTTAACAAAATGCCTGCTAGCCAGGTGATAATAGAAAAGAGTGAGAGCCAGAGTGTCCAAGAGTCTAATCAAACAAAGACCCTGTCCCCATAGCAACAAGGTTAGAGAAAAAATTATTCAGAAGAAAATTTTACAGAAACACATACATTATCCTTGCCTTATTAATAAATTACATAATGAGAAGTAAGCATCAATGCTTTGTGTCAAAGCTTATTTATTCAGTGTTAAGCATATATCTTTAGTTATGGTTATGGCATCCAAAATGTAAAATAGTTCAGTATTTTTGAGGCTTTCTCATATGAATTTATAAGAAAACTTTAGTGTAACTTGAATCCATAGAAAGAATTTTTATCAATAAAACATGGGAAATAAAATCATTACATAGCTGTATATAATCTTGTGAGAAAACAGAAAATGATCTCAAATCTATTTAAAATTCACTGTCATAGACTTCAACCTTAACAGCTATAAGTTATGTTGCCAAAAATTATTAGTCTCTTCAGAGCACCATGCCAGAAAACACACCCATCATCACAAAATCGTGGAGAGTCCTGGGGATCTTGACTCACCCTCTTCCTTCTGCCTCCCTTGCCCGCATCCCTCAGCCCTTTATAGTTCCTTTCCATTCTTCCACTCCCTGACTTTTATTCTTATATCTTCTATGGATTTTGTAGCTATAAGACCCTGAGTTGTTTCCCATACTTTCAGCCTCAATTTTCTCCTCCATGTAATGGGACTCTTGCTGTAGATTTAAAGGAGATAGGATGGATGAAAGTTCAGAAATGTGCCTAATAAATAATAGCATTCAAGTAATGTTCATTTCCAGCTTTCTTTTTCCTTCACCCTATTTTTACTGTATCTTCCAATTTTAAAAGATTTTAAAATATCAATACAAGTAAAAAGTCTATATCTCTCTTAAATTTAATATCAGATGCTATTTACATGACTTTAAGTAGTAATGTATTAATTGCTTTCTCATATATAAACTTTTCATTTTAGAGGTTTTAGATTTGCAGAAAAGTTAGTAGAGCTCCAGTATACCCCTCAACCAATTTTCCCTATTATAACATCTTACACTACCATTTGTCACAATAAAGAGATCAATATTGGTACATTACTATTGCCAAAAAATGTTATTAGTCTCTTCAGCGCACCATTACTATTAACTGAATTCCATATTTTATTAGAGTTTTACTAGTTTTTTCTTAATGTCATTTTTCTGTAATGTCAACATTATATTTTGTTGTCTAACTCCTTAGTCTCTGGCCTGTGACAATTTTTGAGGCTTTTCTTGTTTATTATGATCTTGACAGTTTTAAGAAATACTTGTCAGATTTTTTTGGTAGAATATCCCTCAGTTTGGGTTTGTCTGATATTCTTCTCACAGTGAGACTGGGGTTATGAGTTGTTGAGAGGAAAGCAACAAAGGTGAACTGCTGCTCTTATCCCATCAAATCAAGTGTGCATGCTACCAACCTGACTTCCATGGTTGATGTTAACTTCAAATACCTGGCCAACATTGTATTTGCCAAGTTTTTAGTAATGTTTACAATAGCTACTGTACAGTTATTTTTTCCCTTTTTCCATATACTACTCTTTGGAAGCAAGTTTTCAAGCACAACGCACATTTAAGAGGGGATGGGGGGAGGTACTTAATCATGATTTCCTTGAATCAGGAGAGTATCAACATAAATTACTTGGAATTATAGATTTTTTTTTTTTCCTTTTAGGAGAGCTTTGTGATTGGGTAAGTGGGCAGTTTTTCCCCAATTGCACTGGAATGGCATCCCTCGCCATATGCCATCTCATGTGAGTAAGAATTAGTATTTAGCCACTATTTAGGCTTTCAAGACAAGAAATAATGATATCCTTAGAGAGGCATTTTAAGATAGTAAGGGGATCTACCAAAAATAAGAAGTTGGTGTTGGATACTGAAAGCATGGAGTGTAGTACAGTTAGGCCCTGCAGTTATTGGATTAAGAATATACCTTTTTCTAGAAAAGAATTATTCATGTAAACATGTGCAAAAGATTGGGGGAGCACAAGTAAAGAGGTTCCCCTTTAGAGTAGTTAACGACATACCTCGATTTTTTTTCCAAAATACACTAAACTCTTCCCTGTTTTCAGACCATTTGCTTTCTGACTATCTCATCCTGTGGAATCTAAATCAAAGCAAAACATTTTGCCCATTTCCACTAAAGAGTTTTATCCACAGAGGGAGAAAAGTAGGCAGAGGGTAGGAAAGCATCTCTTGGAAATCACAACAAATAAAGTCAACAATCTATTGCTTTCTTTTCACAGGTAGACATCTGACATTTGCAGGAGTGGTTACTCTGAAAATGCACAAGGGACTGGAACAAGGCAAATATTCTCAAGAGGAGAAGCGATGGATGAAGATAAAGCAGAAGAGGGGTGGAGCAAGATGGCCAAATAGGAACAGCTCCAGTCTCCATCTCCCAGTGCGAGCGACACAGAAGATGGGTGATTTCTGCATTTTCAACTGAGGTACTGGGTTCATCTCACTAGGGAGTGCCAGACAATCGGTGCTGGTCAGCTGCTGCAGCCCAACCAGCGAGGGCTGAAGCAGGGCGAGGCATCGCCTCACCTGGGAATCACAAGGGGGAATAGTACCTTTTCCTAGCCAGGGGAACTGAGACACACAACACATGGAAAATCAGGTAACTCCCACCCCAATACTGCGCTTTACCAAGGATCTTAGCAAACGGGCACACCAGAAGACTATATCCCACACCTGGCCAAGAGGGTCCCACACCCACGGAGCCTCCCTCATTGCTAGCACAACAGTCTACGATCTAACTGCAAGGCAGCAGCGAGGCTGGGGGGAGAGGGGCACCTGCCATTGCTGAGGGCTTTAAAGTAGATAAGAAAGCCGACTGACTGGGAGTCGAACTGGGTGGGAGCCCCACAGCAGCTCAAGGAGGCCTGCCTGTCTCTGTAGACTCCACCTCTGGGGATGGGCACAGCTGAACAAAAAGCAGCAGAAACCTCTGCAGATGCAAGACGACCCTGCCTGACAGCTTTGAAGAGCAGTGGATCTCCCAACATGGAGGTTGAGTCTGAAATGGACAGACTGCCTGCTCAAGTGGATCCCTGACCCCTGAGTAGCTAACTGGGACAATCCCCCACAGGTGCAGACCAACACCCCACACCTTGCATGGTGGGGTACACTCTGAGATGAAGCCTTCCACAAGCAAGAATAGACAGGTTAACACTGCTGTGTCCGCAATATTACTTCTCATGCCCAGCCTCTGCTGCTGAGTACCCACGCAGACAAACACGGATCTGGGTCGGTACCTCAAGACAATTTCACAAAAGACCTACAGCATGAGGGTCCTGACTGTAGGAAATCTATACAACACAGGAAGGACAACCACACGACAAAACCCATCATGTACGTCCCATCATCCAAAAGAACCAAGGCAGATAAACCACAAAGATGGGGAAAACAGCAGGCGCAGAAAAAGACCTGGAAATTCAAAAAATAAGAGCGCATCTCCCCCTCCAAACGAACGACAGCTCGATTGACCAGCCAACGGATCAAAGCTGAACGGAGAATGATTTCCATGAGTTGGGAAGAAGAAGGCTTCAGTCCATCCAAACTTCTCAGACGCACAGGAGTGAATTATGTACCTCAAGCACAAGAACTAAATCTCTGAAAAAGAAGTGGAAGACTGGCAAACTAAGCAATATCAATGCAGAGAAGGCCAAACCGAACTAGCGAACAGAATACAATATACAAATGGAAAACCCCCCACGAAAGAGAGAGAAAACATAGGACAAACGCACATGCTTCAGGTAACCGACTCGATCCAACTGGCAAGAAAGAGTATCAGTGATTGAGGATCAAGATGAATGAAATGAAGTGAGAAGAGAAGCTCCTAAAGAAAAAAGAAC